TGGTTAGACAGATTTGGGGAATTCAGTTCCTGCCAGGTGAAAAGTGACAAGGACTTTGAATCTAATTTATTTGGAGAGTGTGTGTATGTGCATGGTTGTGCATGTTTATTTGAGGATTCTACTATTTCTATTAATTATATTTCCTTTTAGAAAAGATGCAAGGTTGAGAGGTTTTTAGACTTTTGTTGGAATTTTCTCTGTGCATTTTGTGTTTGCTCCAATATGAATATAAGTAGCTCTAAAGATAACACTCTCTTCCTTTGTGCTATCATTTGGACTTTTTAAATGTATATCCATTATAGGACCAAGAATATCAGTAGAAAAGAAATTTGTATATTAAAGATGATCTTAATATGTCATCCTACAGAGTTTTGACTTTAAAATGTGTACTTAAAATATTCCTTAATGTAAAACTGGATTCCTAGATTCTCACACTCATCGTCTTTGATTTGCCTGCCAAAGCCTCTAAATCAAATAATTTGAAATCAGTGTTCTTAACGACTCACTAAATAGACTAAACTAAAGAGAGGAAAAAACATTTCAAATCAAACAAATTGTCAGGAAAATGAGTTTACAACAGCAATGTCATTCAAAATTTAATATTTCCCCAACCTTAAGCATGATATTTCTTTATTGAAAAACTAATGGAAACTAATGTCAAATCACTGTTATTTTTAAAATAAAGATTTTTAAACTAACCAAAAGTGCCACCTCATATTTATATTTAATTTTTTATCATAGTGCTATTCAAATAACAAATTAATAACAAATTAATAATATAAATGGTCTACTTGGTTATTAAAGTCAGTCAAACAAATTCTTGAGATATATTCTCCTAATTGTATTTGCATTGTATTGTATTTAAGATACCAATATTTTAATATACATCTGAGATAGTACTCTTCTGTACTTGTACAGTGCTTCTGTCTGATACAAGTTGTTCAAATGTTCTTACTCAGTCATTATTCGGAATAAATCCAACTGATGATACTATATCAAAAGTTGTAGAAACATAATAGCCAAACATTTTTAAAAACAAAATTAATGGACTTCTTTATTTGATATAGCTATTTATTGTTATAAATGTCCCTCTTAGAACTGCTTTTTGTATCTCCTGTAGATTTTGATATGTTGTGTTTCTGTTTTTGTCTCAAACATTTTTTTTTTTTCAATTTTCCTTTTATTATCTTCATTGACTTATTGGTTGTTCAGGAGTGATACATATTTGTGAATTTTCCAAAGTTTTTCCTACAATTAATTTCTAGTTTTATACCATCATGATCAGAAAAAGAAGAATGTGTATTTTGTAGCTGTTGGCAGGAGTATTCTAAGGGTATCTGTTAGGTCCATTTTATCTAGAGTATGATTTAAGTCCAATGTTTTCTTATTGATTTTCTTTCTGGATAATTTATTCATTTCTGAACATGGGATACTGAGGTTTCTATTATTATTGTATTGTAGTCTGTCTTTTCATTCACATCTGCTAGTATTTCCTTTATATATTTAGGAGCTCTGATGTTGAATGTATGTGTATTTAAAATTGTTGTTTTCTTGACTTATTTAACATTAAATAATATTTTTCTTTGTCCCTTTATTTACAGCTTCTGAATTAAAATCTATTTTATATTATTTAAATATAGCTATGCCATCTCTTTTTTGGTTTTCATTTTTCAAGAACTATCTTTTACTAGTCATTTACATTCAATCTATAGGTATTCTTATAGGTAAAGTGAGCCTTTTATGGGAAGCATATAGCTGGGTCTATCTTATTTTGTTTGTATCCATTCAATCAGTTTATGTTTTTATTGAATAATTTAATATATTTATATTCAAGGTAATTATTAGTAGGTAAGGTCTTACTACTGCTCTTGGATATGGAAAGTGACAAACCCTAAAATAAAGTGACCCAGGGAGAATGAATGAGGGAGAATACAATACTTTGATTTTTCCCAATACAGTGTTTCCTAGTGACAAAGCAGGCCCTGGGGGAGGATCAAGCCTAAAATAACTGCTTCTAGGAAGAGGCCAAAACATTGATCCCACCCTAAACAAATTATTTCCCAGTTACTGACTAATGACCCTGCACCCTCCACCTGGCCCAGTAAAGATAGCTCAAACTGTTAAATTATTAAGTCACCTCTCAGTGTAGCCTATATAAGCCTAATCTCCCCCTTTTGAGTATGGCTCATTTTCCACCAGGAAAATGGGAGAGGCCTTACTCTGTTCCCGAATAAAAGCTGTGCTGAGCTAATCTAGGAAGTTCACGTGCTTTTGTGCTAACAACTGCCATTTTATTAATTGTTTCCCAGTTGTTTTATAGATCCTGTCTTTTTTTTCCCTCTATTACTTTTTCTCTTTGTGGTTAAGTGATATTTCTCTAATGGTAAGTTTTGCTTTTTTGCTTTTTGTATGTGTGTGTGTGTGTGTGTATGTGTGTACTTTAGGTTTTTCCTTTGTGGTTACAACAAGGCTCACAAAACACATCCTATAGTTATAGCATATTTTTTTTAAACTGGTAACAAGTTAACTTTGATTACAAAAAGCAAAACCATATTTTATCCACTACATATGCCACATTTTGAATTTTGATGTTGCAATTTACATCCTTGTATATTGAATATAATTTAACAGATTATTTTTTTAATTGTTTTTTATTGTTTTTTTTATTGGTTGTTCGGAACATTACAAAGCTCTTAACATATCATATTTCATACATTAGATTCAAGTGGGTTATGAACTTCCATTTTTACCCCAAATACAGATTGCAGAATCACATCGGTTACACATCCACATTTTTACATAATGCCATATTAGTAACTGTTGTATTCTGCTACCTTTCCTATCCTCTACTATCTCCCCTCCCCTCCCCTCCCATCTTCTCTCTCTACCCCATCTACTGTAATTCATTTCTCTCCTTGTTTTCTTTCCCCATTCCTCTCACAACCTCTTATATGTAATTTTGTATAACCCTGAGAGTCTCCTTCCATTTCCATGCAATTTCCCTTTTCTCTCTCTTTCCCTCCCACCTCATGTCTCTGTTTAATGTTAATCTTTTCCTTCTGCTCTTCCTCCCTGTTCTGTTCTTAGTTGCTCTCATTATATAAAAGAAGACATTTGGCATTTGTTTTGTAGGGATTGGCTAGCTTCACTTAGCATAATCTGTCATCAAACAGATTTTTGATGCAATTTTATTGGGTCAGAGAAGCAAGATTTTTGTTTCGCAGATCACTTGTTTATTTGAAAGGGTGATAAAATTTTTGAACTATACACCATGTGAATGGCTATTAATAAAGTTATTCTGAATTATTGGAAGACAAGTCTTCCTGGAGGTATAATAGATGTTAATTTCCCAAAATCTTCTCCAAAATAAAGCCCAAAGTCCCAGAGGTTCCCAGGAAGGAGTCCCTAGTTCATTCACATTTTTACTCAGCTTCTTCTTTCCTCTGTGACTGTTCAAACCTCAACAGATTGTCCTTTTTTAGAAAACACCTTAATGTCTGCATCTCTTTTCAGATTTCCTTGTAGTTCTTTTTCTTCTCTCACTTTCTCCCCCATCTACAAGTTCCCCGCATGTCCTTTCTCCTCCCTTCCTAATTAGAAAGTTAACTCACTGTACCTGTTAAAGGGGAACCAAGAGCTACTTGGAATTTTGTCTGCTTTTCTCAGTGTAGATAATTGAGATAACACCAGGTACATTACAAACATTATAGGATAAATAATTCAAGAGTTTTCTCAGTGAACAATGTAGTCAAATACCAAATCTCATAATTAATAATTACAATTCCTCAAAAGTCTCAGCATTCACAAAGTAAATGCTATTTCAATTCTGCAAAAGAAATGAAAATTAATGCATTTCTTTAATAGAAGACAAGAATTTTATTTAATGGAAAGAAAGAACAGACAGAAAACACTTTTGCAATTGAGGAGATCTGGAAATTTGTGACAACTTTGCAGAGAGCTGATACAAAGCAGACAGACTTCTGGTGTCATGAAAAACAATATAACTCCTGGTGATGCATTAAAGGAACCAAAAGTCAAGGAGGTGATTTCCACTTGAGGTAGAATATTCTTTGATAGTCTATTCCTGAGGACTGAATTTATTTCAGGCAAAATAAAATGAGACTTAAAATGTGTCAAAAAGAAGACAGGATTTTAAAGGATTAAAGGAATAGATACTTAAGAAGATAGCATTAAGTAATGTAAGGGGGAAACTTTAACTCATAGGAGGAAGAAAGTTGATCCAGGGATTTGGGCATCTTAAAAAAGAATCTCAGGGCAACTAGACAAGAGAAAAACATTTTTCATAAAAAAAAGTGATTTCAGATCCTACTTGAGAAAATACAAGGCTCAAATTATAGAAAAAACTAAGCCCATAATTGGATATAGCAGTGATAAAATTTCAAATATACCTATATTAAAAATGATTAGTGTGATTTCATTTCCTACTCAAATAGGGCTCTGTGACTTTTCCAAGAATGTCAATTAGAAAGAGATGAGAGAACAGCCCTAGCCCCTTTTACTGCAGAAAAATTATTGCCCCTGTTTTAAGGATTCTTCATTTATTTAAGAACTTTATGATGCAATAATTCCATCCCTGGCTATTTTTCTTAAGTAAAATTCTTCAGGTTGCTTCTCACTCAGTAAGGTGGTAGAAGAAGGTGGTAGAAGAAATTACCACCTCATGCAGCTGACTTAGGAGATGAAAAGGAAGTTGTTTTGGAATGTAGATGTTCATAGCTAGAAAAGATGGTAGACTGAAAACCTGCTCTAAATCCCTAAGAGAAAGAAAAATATTAATGACAAATCCAATTTTAAAAATGACTGATCCACAACACATGTAGCCTAAACATTTAAATACTACACAAGATCTGAGGCAGGGTTTCATGCAAAACTACCACAATCTCCCTCAAATTTTTTTGTCTTAGCAAGAAAATCATCAGTTAGAAAGACTGATCCTCATTAGGAATAATGTTTCAAAATTACTTCTTTTCTTTTAAGTGATGTTGAATCAGACTTCAGTCATTGAATTTCTCCTCCTGGGATTAACAGACATACAAGACCAACAGCCTTTTCTTTTTGCTGTTTTCCTCACAATCTACCTTGTGAATGTGGCTGGGAATGGAGCTATCCTGATGATTGTCATCTCTGATCCTAGACTCCACTCACCTATGCATTTCTTCCTGGGAAACCTGTCATGTCTATATATCTGCTACTCCACAGTGACACTGCCAAAGATGCTGGAGAACTTCCTCTCTACACACAAAGCAATATCTTTCATGGGATGCATAAGCCAACTTCATTTCTTCCACTTCCTGGGTAGCACAGAGGCCATGTTGCTGGCAGTGATGGCATTTGACCACTTTGTAGATATCTGCAAACCACTTCATTACACTGTCATCATGAATCCCCAGCTCTGCACCCAGATGGCTATCACCATTTGGGCCACTGGATTATTCTATGCCCTGCTGCACTCCATAATGACATCTCACTTGAACTTCTGTGGTCCCAACCACATCCATCTCACTATTGCGCTCACAGGAGAGCTGGGAGGGGCCCTTATGGGAGAGCTGGGAGGGGCCCTTAAGGTTTCCCTGCTGTGTGGAGAGGGAGGGTTATGGGGTTACACACCTGTCGCTGCCGGTTTCAATGAAGTTATCTCCTCCGTGGCATTCTGGTGATGTCAGTTCTCTGCCATGGTGGTATCCCATGCAAATGGCGACAGTTCGTTCCTCATTCCCTTTGCCAGGTGACCAATGCAACAGGTGGGTCCTGACTGGCTCTCCCAAGCCCCGTCTCAATCCTGTGGCCACTGTCTATGAAGGCTCGGTTGGTATTAACCTCTGCAGGTTCAGAAGGGCCGACCAGTTGTTTCTGCAGGATCATTTGGTGAGTCACAGCGGTTTGTCTGCGAGTCGCAGGCGAATGGGAGCTTGAATTCAGCCGATCCGGGCTCGGTCTGTGTTCTCAGAGGCCCAGACTGTTCGCCCCAGATCCACGTTAGCTCAGCATTGCCTAGTGATCCTGAGCAAACAGCATTTAGACGGTTTAGGACTCCCTATGCCCGCGCAGCTGAAGAGGTCAGAGACTTGATCTATTCATGCCCGCCGCCATGTTGGATCTCTCAAGCTGCTTTAGACACTGTCAATTTAACAGATTATTGCATTGTTTTTAAAATAGTTTTGCATTTGAAACTTGACAGTAAAGTTATAGGAGATTTATATATCAACATTACATTACTATCATATTTTGAATTTGAGTATATATTTACTTTTATCAGTGAGTTTTATATTCTCAGATTTTTTTTATTATTCACTAGTATCATTTTCTTTCAGCTTCAAAACCTTCCTTAGCATATTTTTTAATGTAAGTATGTTTTTTGTTTCTGTTTTTATTTGTTTTGAAAAGTATCTTTTCTCTATCATTTCTGAAGAACATGATATGATTTCCTTAGCTGGGGATACTTTTATGATCAAATTCGGGACTCCCATAAGACCACCAGAGACCAAGATCCATGTAAACAGCAAAGAGGTGTTTATTGCGAGCTAGCTCGGTCCTCCATGCACACACACAGCAACTGGTGACGCTGAGAGGCCCTGAGCCCAGGGTTTGCAGCAGTTTTATACATTCTTTTGGGAAGGCAGGGGCTTCACATACATTGTAGCATCTCTTAGCAAATCATCACACACCTTGGGAAAATCATAAAACAACTCTAAAACTTGATTAGCACACTCACTGGCAGGAACAAGTTGGGTAGGGGTGATTGGTTACTACAAGAGGGGGTTCATTTGAACTGATTGGTTTAAGCCAAGAGGGGTGTTTTTACTGAACTACATGGTTTCCCAACACCAAAAACTACTGGGAGGGTCATCTGGCATCCCAGGTATTTCCCTGTCTCATGCTGATTGGTGGCTGCTAGGGGGTTGCTATGGGTACCCACCTAGCCTGACTGAGTCAGGGACACCTGGCTAAGCAGATCTCTCCAGTTATTTGTAGATAAACAACTTAGCAGGGTGGGAATGTGCCTAGGAGTGCTCTGTGGGTCTTTCCAAGGACAAAAGTTATGTCCCTTCCTTGGACAGGCTTTGCTCTGAGATAGAGGCTGGTTTTTCATACTATTCTTATTCTTTATTGGCAGGTTGTTCCCCTTTAACATTTTGAATATACATTCCTAATCCTACTCTCTCCTAGCCTATAAGATTTCTAGAGAGAAATATGTTGTTAGCCATATTGAAAATCTCTTATTTTTGTTTCTTTTCTACAGCTGTGTTTAGAATCCTCTATTTGTCTTTGACTTTGAGAGTTTGCTTATAATATGTGTTGAGGTAGTTGACAGATCAGGTGGGGCAGGCAGCTGCCAAATGAGGCAGATTTAAAAGGGCTGCTCAACAGGCTTTATTGAGATATCAGTCCCAGGTGGAAATCCATCAGACCCACAGAGAGGACAGGAGAAGGGTCTGAGAAGAAACCGCGTGGAAGCTCGACTGGACTGGACTTTCATGGGGCTTACAGCAGGAAGGGAAGAGCTTGGGACAGGAAAAGGTGTTTTTAGGGTCCCTTGCTCTCTTGGAGTTGGTCAGGGGAGTTGGCTGAACTCCAGGATTGGCCAGCGGGGTCCTGCTGATTGACAGGCATTAGTCAGGAGATCTGGCTGATTGACAGGCATTTCTGCTGGCATCTGATTGATGTTCTCTTCCGGCGTGGACTGCTTTGTTCTAAGTTGCCACTAAATTGCCACCACAGACCTAACATTCCAGCCTTTTTGGTGATATAGGGCGGCGAATTTTGAGGGAGCACTTGTATATAAGTTCTCCATATTCTGATAGAGGCTGAGGGGTGTTTGGCAAAACCCCATGAATAAAATTTACCATCAACACCAGAGGCCCATCTTGGGTTCCATGGGTCCCAAATAGTTAATTTAGTGTATGTTTGATTCTCATAGCAAGGCTTATCTAGGAAGCGTTTCTTGCATGAATTATAAGGGCACCCACCATAGGTGTCAGGCCAGTGCTTACAAGATTCCTGTTTGGTCTGATATGAAGCCTAGCATTGCTGAACATAATAAGTGGGATGAGATGGACTGGTTGAATCCTGTAACATTACGGGTGACGGCCCGATTACAGCCAGTGAAAGGGCAATCGCCTTGACCCATAAACTGAGAGTGGGTGGTGCCATCCTGTTGCCATGTTGCTTGGATGTAGAAGTGCCATCGGTGGGTTGGGATAGAAGCTTGAGAGAAATTAATGATTAGTAAAAGAAGGAGAGGGTTGGCGAGAAATCTTGAGTTTGGTGGACCCCAGAATGGAAGTAAGAGTGTATGGGGTCAGTGGGGGATGGGGAGCCTCCAAATGATGGTGAGGCCTTTGGAGACTAGTTGAACAACCTGAGAAGTGAGGGTTGGACCATTGTCTGACTGGATGAAGACAGGAAGTCCAAATCTGGAAATGATCTGCTCAATGGGGATGGAGGCAATGGTGTCAGCAGTTTCCCTGGATGTAGGGAAGGCTTCTATCCAACTGTAAGAGAGTGCTATCCCCAAATCACAAACAGTTAAATCTTATGCCAAGGCCTGACCAAAGAAGTAGGGACTGTCCCTGAAGCCTTGGGATAGGCCTGTCCATGCCAGCAGTTGAGACCTAAAGGATATAGGGTCTTCCCATATGAAGGCAAAGAATTCAGGATGGAGGGGCACTGTAAAAAGGCAGCTTTAAGATCCAGGACAGTAAAGTGAATGGTCAAAGAAGGATATGAGTAAGAAAACTGTGAGGGTTGAGAACCACTGGGTGGATGGGAATAACTGCCTCATTAATTAGGCAGAGTTCTTGGACTAAGTGATAGGCTCCTGAGGGTTTGCGTACCAGAAATATGGGAGTGTTGCAGGGGGAGTCTTAGGGACCCAACGGAAATTTAGTTTGGGGTTTCAGCTGGATATGGACTGGCTTGTGGTGGGAGACTATGACTGGCATGGAGATGTCCCAGATCTGGGGATTGACTAGGTCAGGGAGCAATGGCACTGTAGGTACTGGTGGGTTATTAGAGAGGGTAAGAATTAAAAAAAAAGAAGGAGTTGGGTGGTAGTATTCTTTGGGTGTAGTTGGAGGGTGGGTCCTAGCAATTGGAGAACATCTCTGCCTAGGAGAGGAACTGGACAGGATGGAATGACCAGAAGGGTGGGTAAATGGGTGTCCCTCCAGGGCACAGGCCAGCTTTACAGTTCCGTTTGGGGAGGAGGGTTTGTCATCAGTCCCCATAACTGAGACCTGGGAAGGAAACAGAGGCCTAGAGTGGGCAGGCAAGACAGAATAGGTAGCCCCCATGTCCACAAGGAAGCTTATGGACTTACCCGCTGCCTGGAGCATTACCTTGGGCTCTGCAAGGGTGATGGGGGTCTTCGAGTCTGGGCTTCTTCAGTCTTCTGAGAACCCCTAAAGTTCAGGAGAAGTGACAGCCTGACTGGTCATACCCCTGCGTAGAGGCACCGCCATGGGGCAGTCAATCTTCCAATGTCCTATCTGCTTACAGGTGGGGCATGGCATGGAAGGAGGCTGTGGGTTTGGGCATTGGCGAGCCCAGTGTCCTTCACATCCACATTTGAGGCAAGCCTCTGGTGGAGAGGAATGCTGGTTCCCCTCTGAAACTTTTGCTGGAGTCGTAGGCCTCAGGGCCTGGGTTTGGGGTGTTACATTTTTCTGCAATGGAGCCTGCTTTAAAGGCCATTTTCACCAGATCTCAGATAGGGGTCTGAGGGCCCTCCGTAGCTCATTTGAGCTTTTTCTAATATTATGAGCCAATTGAGTAATGAAATGGGTTGCTAACACTGTAGCCCTGGTGGGAGACTCAAGATCCAGCTTAGTATATTTGATGAGAGCCTCTGTATGGCGGGTTGAGAAATAAGGCTGGATTTTCATCAGGATTCTGGGTAATTTTCCTCAGTTTATCAAAGTTAATTACCTTATTAGAAACTCCTTGCATGCCTGCTATAAGATATTGGACCATGCAAGCATAGTGATGGCGACATTGTTGGCCATCTTGATAATCCCAGTTAGGTTCGGTTAGGGGAACAGCTGCTTCACCTGTAGGAAGAGTCATATCTGTTAAACGAATTTGGTCAGCATGAATGCGGGCTCGCTCATCTGGGGTCAGAGTAGAGGACAGAACAACATAGACGTCATGCCAGGTAAGATCATAGGTCTGGGAGAGAAATCATAATTCCTTAATATAAGCAGAAGAGTCAACAGAGAAGGACCCAAGATGTTTTTCAATCTGGGAAAGATCTTGAAGTGAAAAATGGGATGTGCACTCAAACTATCCCTTCAGCACAGGCTACTTCCCTGAGAGGACAAAGGAACTGTGGGTTATCTGATAAGAGGGATCAGTGGACTGGGTGTGGGCACTGAAGGGAGGGGGTGAATGGGTGGAGGTGATCATGGCTGTAGGAGAGGAGGAAGAGGAGCAGGTTGGAGGGGGAGGGGGAAGGGTGGTATCAGTGGAAGAGGTGGGTGGAGAAATCAAGGTAGCAGGAGAGGAAGAAGAGAGTGGGGGAGGTGGAGGGGGAAGGGTCTTATCAGTAGAAGAGGTGAGCAGAGTGGGGGAGGAGGCTTGGAGGGATCTGCAGATCCCACCCACTGCAGCAAGGTGGGATCCATTCTGCCTGCCTGTTGGAACCAGGGAAGCAGAGGGAGGCATGCGTGGGGAGCCAGCTAGGGAGGGAGGAAGGGCACACTTATCTGGTGGCCAGGCAGACTGGAAGCGCGCAGACAGGGCTGCAGGTAGCGGCTGCAGAGGTGGCAGCAGGGAGGGGAGGGGACGAGGTACCTCTGGGAGGGAGAGCAGACAGGACAGGAGCAAAGAACAGAGAGAAAGTCACAGAGAGAAGGTCAGGAGCAGAGAGCAGAGGGAAGGACGGGAGTGATTCTCAAAAAGCCTGAACGTTGTTTCCCACTTCTCTGTCCTGCGACAGAAATTGTCCAATTTAGTGAGGGTTTAAAATCAACAGTTCCTTCTGGGGGACATTGTGACCCATTGTCTCAGTGAAGTAAAATACCAGGCAGTTCTTGAATGAACCCTAACTTGGCAAAATTTGAATTTTCTGCATTTCCCATGACCTTCCAGCACCCTCGGGGGTGAGTGGTTGCAGAAGAAGGCGTCCCAAATTCTGTCTGCACTCACCTACAGACAGATACAGGCCAGGGCAGAGGTTGAGGCATCCCTACAGCCTCCACGGGCCCCAGTGGTTAGCCAACCTGGTAGGCAGGGGGCTCTCAGGTGGACTGGGACATCTCCACAGTCCACAGAGCCCTGAACAGAATGGGCAGGGCCTATGGCACGTGTGTGACTTACAGATAGACCCTGTGGACAGACAAAAAGGGTTTGGAAGGTCAGGGGAAAGGAGGAACTTACCTCACTCCTTTTGGCCAGGATGAAGGGAGAGGGAAAGAGCTGCTTAGAAATTAACCAGTTCGTTTTAAGGGGGAAGGGATGGGTTTCAATCCCCTGAGGGAGAAGCCCAAATATCCCTTCCCAGGTGTGGGCACCAAGATGTCAGATCAGGCGGGGCAGGCAGTGGCCAAAGGAGGCAGATTTAAAAGGGCCGCTCAACAGGCTTTATTGAGATATCAGTCCCGGGTGGAACTCCATCAGACCCATAGAGGGGACAGAAGAAGGGTCTGAGAAGAAACCGAGTGGAAGCTCGACTGGACTGGACTTTGATGGGGCTTACAGCAGGAAGGGAAGGGCTTGGGACAGGAAAAGGTGTTTCTAGGGTCCCTTGCCCCCTTGGAGTTGGTCAGGGGAGTTGGCTGAACTCCAGGTTTGGCCAGCGGGGTCTTGCTGATTGACAGGCATTAGTCAGGAGATCTGGCTGATTGACAGGCATTTCTGCTGGCATCTGATTGATGTTCTTTTCCTGTTCGGGCTGCTTTGTTCTAAGTTGCCACTAAGTTGCCACCACAGACCTAACAGTAGTCTTATTTAGACTGATTCTAATTGGAGACATTTGAACTTCCTGTGCTTAGATACTTATATCTTTCTCCAGGTTTGGAAAGTTGTCTACTATTGTTTGTTTAAATAAACTTTCTGCCCCATATGTGTCTTTTCTTCTTTCTGAATTTCTATGACTCCAAAATGTTCTTGGACTCTTTCCCATGAATTTCATAAACTTTCTTCATTCACTTTCATTCTTTCTTTTCTCCTCCATCTTGGAGTACATGGTGTCATTTTTCTGCTGTTGATATTTCCATTCCAATTTTAGTTTAGTTTGTTCTATTTTTCAGTGTAAAGTCAGGCAGCAGCGACCAAAAGGAGGAAGATTTATAAAGGCTGCTGGAGGGACCCTCAGACCAAGGTGGATCTGAGGAGAGGGCATTGGGGCTCCACTGGAATGGAATTTTTATTGGGCTTATGGCAGAAAGGGAGGGCTTGGGACAGGAAAAAAGGGTTTTTAGAATCCCTTGTCTTACTGAGGTTGGTGGGGGGAGCTGGCTAAGATCCAGGATTGGCCAGGAAACCCAGATGATTGATAGGGGGTTCTGTCAGCACCTGATTGATGTTTCTCTCTCTGCCACAAGTTTCTTAGTGCTTTGTTCCTTAGCCACCTCCATCAACCTGACCTTCAGCTCCAGGATTTCTGTGTAACTTTTAAAAATTATTTAAAACTGTTCTAAATTTCTTGCACTAGAAATTATTTTCTAATTTTGTTGATTTGTTTCTTTGTATTTTCTTGAAATTTGCTAAGCTTTTTAAAAATGATTATTTTTAATTCTTTTAGATAGTTCATGCATTTCTTTTCCTTTAGGATTAGTCTCTTGTCCTTTATTTTATCTACTTGCTGATGTTATACTTGACCAATTGCATCAATGTCTGCATGTTGGAATAAGTAGGTACTTCTTTCAGACTTTATAGACTATATTAGTCCGAAAAAGACCTTCAATAAAAAGCCTGTCCAAAGATTCTGGGCAGGCAATCTGGCTTGGTTCTGAAGCATAGGGCTTTTGACCCTTTCAGTGGTGCTGACTAGAAATTAAATCTACCTTGAAGGCTTGAAGCCTGGGGCTACAAAGCCCCACCTAACCTTAGGGTGGGTCTAAAGGCTCAGTCTGTGGACATAGAGATGGAGTCTTCTGTGGGAAGCCATTCTAGCAAGTGATTG